AATAAAATAACTGTAAATCTAAGTAACAATAGTAACTATTAAAATAATAGATAGAAAAAAGAAATATTTCAAAACTCACAATGCAAAACCGAACATAGGAAACAAATGAAATTGCACTATGCACCATTTCTGCCTTCATAAATCAGTAATTATCACTAATTATGATCCACCTACATTGCATATAAGATTCTGAAAAAAGCCAATCTGCATAATCAGTATCCTTATACAGATTGCCATCTATATTAGGACACAGGACTGCACAATGATTTCCTACACTGTTTATTTCTAATCAAGTAGTTTGATTTCCTGTGGATCGTCAAAGGTCATGCACCTTCATTTTTATCCGGTGTGCTCTTGAAGGTTGACGACTATATGATATAAAATGCATAATGGGCTACGTGCAGACTAGCTTAGAGAATACGATCACTGACACACATTAATTTGTAAATCTTCTGTCTGTGTAATTACATGTCTTGCAGCACCAAGTCACCCTCCGGGGAGTATTGAATGGAAACTGACCAACTCTAAGATCTTTCTAAATTGGGAACATGTCAAAGCGATGGAGAATGAGTCCGAGGTGACAGGATACAAGGTGAGTTTGTCAGAATAACAGCAGAGTCCAGAACTGGGGAAACAAATAGAGCCTCAGCAGCTGTCATCTCAATAAATGGCTTCCTCATTGCAGCGGAAAGATAGACCTCAGCACTCCAGTGTTACATTATGGATTGGCCCTATCTGGCCTTTCAAAATTAAAAGATCTGTTCCAGGTGATAAAATGAAAGGCGTCATGCCACAAAAGGAATTACGTTTTTCTACGCAGTAAAACGATGAATCATATTTGATCCACTTTGCATACTTTGTGTGGAAAAGCACACTGTTTGTGATTTATATATAAACATACAAGACACACACACAGGTAGTCCAACTCCTCTACCTCTAGGATGGTGCATCATTATGTGCTATTGCTAGTTCTCTTGGCACAGTCTCAAGGAGACAGGCAGTTAGAGCAGGGCCAAAGAAGGTCCTTAACCCATCACTATCATTGGTATCGCCTCCTTTTACAAGGGTGGCCTACACAATGACCTCCAAACAATCAGAGACTTTATGAAAGTGGGTTGAGGGCCTGATATCCTCCAGTGGGTCCTGTGCTCATGATGATGAGCTCTCTCAGACCTATGCAGCCTTATTGTTGCAAAATGTATTGAGGGCATTGGTTACAGAAGAATTCTGAGCTACTGCAGGTTGCAGTGAGTACTGTCGGGGTATTAATGTGGAAGTAGAAAGAACATCATTTCACCAAATAGCAGTCATGACCAGATGCTGCTCGCATGATTTCAGACAGAGGAGTTTGCATGTGTGGATTGAATGGGTTATCATCGTCACCTAATGAGCTTGTCATGTCAGTAGAAACACTTTTACTTAGAAAACTGGTGACTTGTTCAATACTTATTTTACCCGCTGCACATACATAGTACATTAGTCTTTAGCCGGCTCTTTTGCAGACACGACTCGAGTAAAGGTTTCACAAAGACAATACTGTCAATATTTCTTGCATGTTTTTCTTTTTTTAACTAAATTTGCAGTTTGGCTCTCTACACTGTGTTTCTTTCGGAGGACTAAATAAAACTTTCTGCTGCGTTTTAATGATGGTGAAGCTACACAAGTAAATGTGCAAAAATGACATCTGAGGTGCTGTTCTCAAGTCCCTGAGTCATCGAGCCAAATCATCCCTGTCATGCCGTGTGGCATTTTGAATTCATTACCTCCTACAGATAGGATTGTATAACCAAGATGAAGCAACAGTATCGTGCCCCGCTCTTGGATTTGCAATGTGTTTTTTTACACACTAGTTTGATACGTTGAATGAAGTTACAAATTTTTCTGTTGAGGAGTAAAAAAGGTTTAATATCTCACTGTTATAGAATAGAATAGAATAGAATAGAATAATCCTTTAATTGTCCCACAAGGGGGAAATTTGGTTGTAACAGCAGCCAAAAAGACAAATATACAAACAAACAGTACACAGGACACGGAACAGAAACATACACAATTTTTCTTACATATTTACATTAAGGACAACGGTTACTACAAACAGAGAGTACTGTACAGTTATTAAATTAAATAAAAATAATTACAGGTAAGAGGCAAAGAAGAGACTAAAGAATTGCATTTTGTCCTCCAGGTTGTGTATCGCCAGAACTGGCATGAGAGGACCACTGTACTGGAAACCAATAAGACCAGTTTGGAACTGCAAATCCCCTCTGGAGAGGACTACCTCATTGAGATCAAAGCTCTGACCGAAGGGGGCGATGGCACCAGCAGCGGTCCCATCCGCATACCAAAGATGTCCAGTAAGTTCCATACACTCCACAGCATGCAAATGATTGGAGCTGGAATTAGGCAGAGAAGCAGTGGGATGGGCGCACGGTGTGTAACTAATCCCCTGTGTGACTGATGTTGTTTATCAGCTTTACTGTAGCTTGAACAAGGCTTTCAGAATACACATATAAATTGTAATTAGACTGTGCCATGCAACCAAGAGGAAGACACACAAAATGTACACAGATATCTCACCCAAGAACGTTGGGCTTTTTAGCTCTTGGGGCTTTTTTTGTTTTGTTTTTTCAGAGCTACTTACCGTAGCTCAACATTTTGGCAAATATACTGACAATGATGAGTAGTTGATGGT